CTGTACGCAGGGCTAGGCTAATGTACAGTAGTCAGTAGGTTGGAGCAGGGAGCTGTAAAAATCTCATTACAGCTTCCTGGTTGGAGGGCCGAAATGAAGACGGCATCGTAAACAAACGAAACACAACTGAGTGCATACAGAAAAACGTTGAATTAAAAATAATACTGACCAGAAATTATTTGTGTGTCTGCGTCTTGCAGCTGGAGAACTGCCAAATCACCCGAGCTGACACATCACGAGCAGGCTTGCACCATGAAGACGGATAAACTATCGAACGACCACCATTTTGTTTTCGTTGGTTCGAGGAACTCATGCATATTCATTAGGGGGGAATTCCCTTTACGTCATCACGATATATGTTGTTCAATGGAGTCGACGGTGAGGAGTCGTCTCTTCGTCACGGTGTGCTTTTGGTATCAAGTTCACAAATACAGCTACCCCAAACCACTCATCTCGATTTAATCGCTATCGCCCACACAAGAGGGATAGCGATAACACTAGAACGAATAGTCTGGGGTAAAATACAGCCAGTATTACAGCATTGTTTACTTTGTAACAACGACAGCATGAGCGAATACCGTTCTAATGATGATAATAGTTTTCATACCACTAATTAGAGCTCCATAGCGTTTGGGTAAATTTTAAATTTCTCCAAGATTACGGGTTACAAAGACTAAATTATTATTTGTAATATAATTCTGGTCAGTAAAACACATGTTGGCCAGTTCAAACTGATACAAAATGGATGTAAACAAAACACACAGATTTGTCAGTCTTTCTACTTTCAATAATCTTAGAAACGCAGGCAGTTTGGAAGTGTCAAATTGAGAGTTGCCCAGATCCACGGGTAACCGGTACAATAAACAAAGCCACACACACAAGTCTAACAGCTAACGTAATTGGAGTACGCCCTCATCATCGCGTTCCAAATAAAACGCGGTGAAAGAAAACCAATTGGCTAACAACCATAAAATACGAACGCTGATAGGCTAATTGGTAGGATGGGGGAAAGTGTCTTGCTATACGTTGCTAGGTTAATTCAATCATATTTAATCCAGTATATATAGAGGTAAATGCAATGTGACAATTGCGTCATTGCATGTAAATTTGCATCCCCTTAACCGTACATACTACACCTGCCATGATCATAAACATAAGAACACACCGTGACAGGAAATTGGAGGTTATACCTACATCGGATTTTAATCAGGTTGGAGCAGTATAAACTCGGCGTGACTTAATGAACAGAGTAAATTAAATTGTTCATTAAATATATATATTTTATATAATATTGGCGACAATACAAGTGTTAAAATGCCTCATGCGTACAGCTTTTACTCTTGAATAGTAAGCAAATAGTCTCTGCGAATGCATTATAAAGCAGCGTTTTCATTAATGTTTTTTGATCCAGAAAGATTATGAAGTTATATCATGATGTAAGATAGTATGAGCCCAAACAATTCATCGTTGTATCACGCCCTCTTGCAGCGGTTTTCTAACAGTGAAGCTTGTGTTTAATGATTTGCATATGCTAACCTAAAATGTACCAATGACTCAATATATACGTGTAATTACGCGTTTATTTGAATTCTGAGTTGCATACTAACAATATACCCCCCCCCCCCAACACACACACACATTGCGCGTGGACAGAGTTGGGTTACTCCTATTGGCGGTGAGTGCTTTATATGCTGCTATTTCCAGGCACCAGGTCTAGAAATGAGGTTAAAGTGTTACCTGCGCACCTGCGGGAATTGAGTCCCATGCGACGATAACAACACACGCTAAAAACGCAAAGGCTCATGGCTAGACGCTTATTTGTAAACAATGACACTCTATGGCAATCTGACGCATGCGCAACTGAAAACTCACCCGCTTTAACAAGTTTAATTTCATACTGGATTATTACACCCAAAAACAAAATAGCGTGAGTCCATTACAAGTACGCCGAGTACGAAGACATCTGTAAAACGGAAGTTATCAACACAGTCATTGTGAGTTGTTTTACAGAGATGCTGAATTGTTCGAGTTACGGACATCGAGTTACGGAGACCGTGCCCACATTTAGTAACCCAAACTTTAATTGACAGTTAATAGAGACATTAAGATGCGCATACGAGAACGGAACGAGAACGGATACGTCACTGCTTTGTGCATGACCTCCGCGCGAACCAATGACGTCATCGGTTGCCTGGTCGTTCGGCAGTCGTTTTGAACGTGATCAAGGTGACTGACTCGTAGTTGATTTCCGAGAGCTTTTCTCGCTGTCAATTTTGAATAATTTTCATTGACATTGATAAAACGTTTTATATTAGAGTGTTTTTGAATATTTATGATGAAATAAGAAATATTGGATGCATTTTAGCTGACATTTATACCCACTGAAAACGCATGATATTGATATGCTGAAAGAGGATTCGGCAAACAGGCCTAGGACCTCAGCAGAATGGATGGAAATAGTGAGAGCTCTGTCAACTGTCTGTGAACTAACTACTAATTCTGATTCCGGACGTGAAATGACATAACAAATTTTATTAGGTAGTTATTGTTGCCCAATGAGAGACGAATTGACATGGTTCTGGTTTCAGTTACGTTCCCGTTGTGGGCGCTTGTACTTAATCGTTTTCTGACACCCGAGAACGTAACGCAAACGAAATTAGAACATCACGTTACGTTCCCGTTACGTACGCGAATCTTAAACTCTCTAATCAAACAACGAGTTTCGGGCAACATAGATTAATTAAATGTTAATTAATTTCGAGTTATGGAAACCATAAAACAAAACCAAAAATACATGCCCGTAACTCGAAGTTCGGTTAACTATTAATTGAACATCGAGATACAATTTGGGCGTGGTTTCTAAAGTATGGGCGTCATTTTGGTAACTTGGTGTTTTTGTTACTCGGTGCTCGAACAATTCATAATCTCTCGTTTACACCGCCGTATCGCATTTCTGTTGCTATACGTTATAATTTCACGTTCTTCATAGGCATTTCTGTTCAATGTGTCAATAACATTTAACATGGACATAACAAACAATGCACTACCTTTGGCCAGCAGGTGAAAGAAACGGTCCCGCTACTGTCCTTGGTTGTCACAGTTTACTTTCACTTGAACGCCATCATTTAAATTGAAAGCAACACGGCAATACAACATTTATTTTGAAAAAAAGAACCGCATATTATTATCAATAGTACGTTACATTTCAATTAAATGAAATACCACAGACGCTGACAACGTGGTTGTAAAGTATGAAGAACGAATGACGAGTTCCGAATAGGTATCCAGGTATTAGCACTGGTAAATCCCGGATAATGTGTTGAACAACATACTAGTATATGATGTAAGCTTAAGTTTCACGTAATTGTGACCCCGACTTTTAACTTCATTTACAGCGACGCCATATTGAAATTCCTGAATGCAAGCATAATTGAAAACATCACTAGTTACGATTACAAATTCTGGTTAAATTTTTGTCCAGCTGACAACGAGATGCGACTGGTATGAATTTAAAGCGTATCTTACGACGATGTAAGTTCTTTATCGTGACTGTACCAGGTAGATAAGACAATATAATCGATTATAACTGTACTATCACAGTGTGTGTATGTATGCTAAAGGTTATTAACTTCCGGCTATTCAATCAGTTCAACTATACTATATTGATATGGCGCACTATCCCAAATTACAGGACAATGTTGGTTAGAGTCACACTGAAAGCGAACTATTTTTACTTGATCCCTTTTGCTGCCAGCTCCTCTCTAACTCGGAATAAATACGTGGGGTCTGGGTAACCATGACTGTAAAGGAAAAATCAATTTGTTAAGTATTGTCACTGTGACTAATGTGTATATTAGCATTGAATTCAACAAATGCTAGAGATTCAATCATGGTCAACGAATATTGTACTGTAACATTACAAGTTGATGACCATTGAGTGTCACATGACATGGAATGAAGTAAAATACAACCGAGGACTGAATACGTACACTGTGCGACTGAAGGTGTGTGTAACTTGAACACAAGCGTTCCCCTGTTTTGTTATTTACTGTCATGTGTCATCCCGGTTACAGCATTTTAATTTCACACGCTTTATAGGAATTACAGTATAAGGCATCAGCCACAATTGTCGCACCACTCATTTGTTTCTATGGTCGGCACACACACACACGAGGCTCACGTTATTCCGTCCCCAGTTGTAGAAATGTCTATGTGCCCTCACTAACCTGGCAGATCCTCCTGTTCTACTTGTTTTATGATGGACATCATTCCATACAACGCAGTTATCCATCCCAGTAGTCACTGACTTCCCTATAGTAAATAACAAACCATTATCAAACGCCCTCTCCAGTAGTTCTAAAATTTCTTTTCCATCTCTATCAGCTGGTAGATAAGCTCGTCTACTTGTACCAGAATAATTTTGTCCTGGGTTTGGGTGGTTTTTCTAAAGTAAAAAATAATTATTATAATATCAAACATAATTTCATGTGTGCCATGACAGCGAGAACAATTGTTTTAAAAGACATTGTTCAAACGTAGAATACGTAACGGTCACAATACCGTGTACTGGCCATTATTGAAACGCCGCGTTCTCATTGGACGATCGGTGTCATGTGCAGCAACGTTATCAGATGATGCCGTACGAGCAAGATTCTGTGTTTATTACATATTTTCGTGCTTTAGCACGTGGCTTGGGCGTAAACACTGCGCCATGTTGGATGAGTTTCTATGGCAAGATAATGTTCATTTAATAGTATTGCTGTTATAAATCACCATTATCAAAATTAATCAAATTTAGACTTTTGTTGAAATAAATTTTCTTTTGGCAGATAGAAATTTACATTATCGTGTGATAATGTATAGGTATGGCGTCATAAAAAATCTAATGTGATTTATTACACGCAATATAGTCAGCGCGTCGTCCTTTATTCCCTGAATATTGCATAATTACCCCTTGTTTTCCGCCTGGAAAGTAATATTCAATTGTAATCGTGCCCTTTCTATCATATCCGGGAAGATGGGATTCATCGTCTATTTCAGATTTCATGGACCCTTTGGGTTGGTTCCCACGTTTCAATAACACTATCAATGAACAAAATGGACACTTCCCATGATTTCCAAAATGGTGTGCGAAACACTCCGTGCATATAGTACTCTGACAACAGTTCATAGCTTTCAGAGAAACGTCATTTTCAGCGCAAATTTCACAGTCGCCTTTATTTCTGGCATCAATGGCAATCTCAGTGAGAGAGTTTGCTGGCGAGATGTCCTTCGGAGATGCATTGGACGCCGCGTGTGAACCACTGATTGGCGGTGTCGTCTCCATAGCGCCATCGTATGTCTCGTGATCACGTACACATCCATCCCCACTGAATACCGGTCGTTTTGCGGGTAATGGCCTCGACGGTGACAAACTCGAACTACTGGCATCGGAGGATAGTTTTGACATGGTGGGAGATTGCCCAGTGAATGCACCGCCAAATTCTAAGATGAATGTGGCCGTCGCGTCGTCGTGTAGGTTCAGTATCGTGATTTCCTTCAACGAAGCCTTTCCACTGTGCTTTGCTGAATACTCATTCACTGCTTGATGGAAAACCTTTGCACACGTTTCAAGGGGCATACCATATATACCTAAAAAAAGTATTTGAAAAAATATTGTGTGAGGAATACGAATTTTCATTCAAAAATTCCGTGAAGAGTCTTTTGATTGTAAACCAATGACGTGACCGGATATGACGGTCAAACTTGTAGAAAAACAAAATATCAGTAAATAAAATATCGAAGTTACCTAAGAAAGGGTACTAAATTCCCTCCGCGTTGTTATTTATTGTTATTTCTAGAGCTTGAAATAGTTCGTCCAAGGTTGCATTTATTGGTGTTATATATATATATATATATATATACGTCAGCACATACCTGAGCTATATACCAATATATAGGCCATTCTGCTGTATTTTAATTACCAATATTTTAACTGGATACTAGTATATTATTTTTCTAGTACGTCTATCCATGGAACTATAAACCCGGGTTTATAGTTCCATGGTCTATCCGACCCGTGTGATAGTTTGATTGTACGATGTACAAATCTTACTATAAAATATATATATACAGACACAACACAAATAAACAAGAAATAATAAACGTATAGCAACAAGGACACTATACCTCCACTAATGGCTGGAGTCGCTAGAGACTTGGCTCGAAGAAATGACGAGTATTTGAATATGTCCAATAGCAGGTTGTACAATAAATCAATGCAATGTCGTTGATCCCCCATGTCATCAGCGTTCCAAATAGGACCAACAGCGTGAATCACATGCTTACACCGGAGATTTCCACCAGACGTTTTGATATATTTACCAGTCTGCAAGTCACCATATTTTCGAATATATGCATCGCATTCTTGTTTAATGGCTCGACCTCCTGCTTTAGCTATTGCTAGCGCTACTCCACCGACATGTTTTAACTTAGTATTGGATGCGTTGACGATAATATCACTTTTTTGTTCGGTAATATCTCCTGTATAGATTGATATTTGTAATCCTTCCTCGGTGATATAACTCAAGTGCATTTTTTCCAAGCACACCATTACATCAATCTCGTCCTTTTTTGTTGCATTATTAGATTTTCCTCGTTTCTTTACATCTGTTTTCTTGTTTATCGAAGTAGATTTAGTATATATTGGTGGTGAGTGTGAGTGCGTTGGAAGTCCAGGCTTAGAGTGTTTGTTCAGGCCTGTCATATCACTTGCGGGTTTAACGGTCCTTTTCTTGGATGCGCCGGTGTTGCTACCTTCAGTACACGAGAAACCGTTTTCATGTTTTCTTCTAGTGGCCCCTATCTTCTTTTCGACCGCATCTCCCTTTGTCGGCTTTCGACGTTGGTCTTGTTCATTAGAACAAGTAACTCCATTATCTACTGAATTCGAATACAGCAATTTCTCTGTTTCGATAAGAGCTTCTAACTTTGTAGTTTCAATGACGTATCCATTGGTACCGTAGTCAATGTTAACATTTCCCTTAACTTTCTTTTCTATTATATCTGTTTGATCCCTGGTAAGTGAGTGGGCTGCCCAGGGATGAACCGTTGCTTTAAAATGTTCAAAAACCTAGTTGGAACGAAACAATATAGAATAGTTTATTGGGCACAGATAGTAATCAGTGAACTAATCGGTGTCTTCAACGTTTTTTCTCTTTACACATTCTTTACAAACACAGGCACAGAACCTCATAACACATTCATGAATTCAGTACTGCCAAAAGGGAGAGCACAGCAAAAAAGATATCAACGCAATGTATTTTTAAACAATACGACTTACACATGCATGCCATTATAGAGGCATACAAGATGCCATATACAATAAGTGAAGGTACAATTACTATCAATCTATCTATCCATCAAATATTTTCATTTTTTATATATCTAGATATTGATTTCAAGAGATTGTAGGAATTTTCACATATCACCAATACTAACTACAATTCAGTAATAGTTACGTGACCCAAACCATTATGCGTTATAAAAAAAAAACGTCAAAAATCTTTTAAAATACCTTATTGTCACTTCCAGGCACGACTTCCGGCACATTTGGAGATACTAGATAGAGGAAAAGCGATTCAAAATGTAATTAATTATTAACAGTTTTTGACAGTGTATTGTTGTCACTGTCGCATACATTTCTTAAACAACCTCGAGTTTTCTCATTCATGTAAGGCATGTATACAGTTGATTTCCTGTGCATTAAGAAGTGGTAAGTATTTTAACTGTCATTACCTTTCTGTTTCTTCCTTAAAATGTCCTCCACTTTCTGTAGTTGTCTGATAGTGCCTTTTGCAAATGCCGGTTGTTTCACTTTTTTCCCCAGATTTCGTAGCTCTACACCAGTGTCACAAATGGTAGTGTTGTGTTTTTTCACGAGGTCGATTACAACACTCGTAAAAATAGCCTTGGTTTCCCCAATAGCCTGTGAATGTTAAATATCAGTGATACTCTTTTGCTATATTTTGGAGATTGTGTGTCTTAGTGATGAACATATACACTGTTTTTGTAGATTGTCTTCGCCATAATCAAGTTACAGGTTTTGTTCAGTCAGTCGTCTTCATATCGTACAAAAAATTGCATGATCCATTTTGAACCACACATTAATAACAATTTTGCAGGGGCGCTGAGCAGTGGCGAAGTAAGCGGGAAAAAGAACGAGTTTAACCCACCATACGTGATGTTCATGCCGAGTTTCAATAAAATTGGCCCAAACGTGCAAATTATTTTTTTGGTTGAAAATGGCCACCAGTCGGTCATAGGTTATCAAAGCAAAAAAAATCGATGTGCACAAGGACAAATGAAAATAATATCAACATGGCCGACAGTAGTTTGAATAACATCTGCCAAGGCATGCATGGGAAACAGTTGATGACATGTTGAAATGTGTTTTTAGGTGTAAAATAGCAACCTGTCACTCAAAGGGGAACGAAATGTCACATAATATGGCTTGTCTTTGTACCAACTTCAACAAAATAGTTTCAGGCATTTCCTAGAAATGATGTCGGACGTAAAGACTCGCGCATGCACGGACAGAACTAAAACGACACGATTTCTGCAGATTTTTCTTCTGATTTTCAAATATCCAATCATTGGTAATAACTTGACAATTTCAGAAGTTTGTTCTGAGTATTGCGTATGTATGTGCACACTATTATACCAAGTTAATACGAACAATATCATTCATTACCGTGTCACATTTGATTTTGTGTGGTGATATCTTTTCTCCTTTTATGTATTCATCCGCATCTGTAAATCAAACACGAGAAGTGTTAACTTTCATACTGCGCTTGCGTCATGAGCATTTCAAGAATAACTTCCCAGATCACATGACATGCCATGTGACATCAATTGCAGTCGTATGATTGGTTCAATTAAAATCTTGAAAATACCATCTGATTTTATGATACGCCGGAACGTATCTAAATCAAAATTTAAAATTGGCTTATGATTTATATTTACATATGTGTATCAGTGTGCTATATACGCACCAGTAGGGTTTCCAAAAAGTATCACAGCGTTGTTGTCTCCTTTACGTATAAATCGGTGTTTCGTCGGAAACTTAGAAGTTAAGTGGCGTTTAATATCAGATTCTTTACAATTCTTGGAATATGTAACCCATACTACCGTATCTTTGTGATCGCTATTACTTGCCATTATCAACCTAGCGACAAATAAATAAATACATAAATAGTCGTATCGTAATCATTGAAGTAGTGCTCGTTAGTTGTGTATGTGTTAATTGTATTGAAATTGGTGAAAATTCCCGACAAAATATGTACCTGTTGAACGCGTTTATTGACTGAACCAGGAATATTAATCACTTCTACTATTTGTTAAATGCTAAATAACAATGGGGTGAGAGTTACAACAGTTTAAATTTCCCACCTAAGGAATCTGAACGTGTGTTGATTACCCAAAAGCGAGGCCCAATCGACAATCTCTTTTAATTTTAATTTAATTTTTTGTTAAGTTATTCTAAAATAAATTAATTTGTCGCCACGTCCCTGGCGCTGTCAAATTCCTTACATACTGGGACGTCTAGGGGACGTCATAACTATCCAAATATCCAGTATGCGGCTGTTTTTTGTTGCCTAATCTTCCCTCGTGTCGGTGACAGGTACATGACTACTCACTGTTCACTCACTGTTGATCACTGGGGCTTGTCGACTTACTTTGATGCCCGGAGCACGAAAGGAGGATAAGACACATCTAGAAATTACCCTGATTTTAAGCAGTTAATTACAGTTTAACTGTGTAAAACGTCACATTACCTAAAAATTTAATTTTTTTTGTATCGCATTTTCTGGTATTTTAGGAATCGCAATCACAATTACATTCATTAAGAAAATGTAGTACAATTCTTGGCGATAATGTACTCCATACTCAATCCGACAGCCACACGCCAAGTCGATGCGATAGCTCCTGACGCAGAGTGAAGACCATTCAAACGCGTCACAGTCCAGAAAAATATTAATACTTGCATAACATTGCATGAGTTGAATGTCGATGTTTGAATATGTTCATAATAAATTCAGTTTAGTTTGTTTTTTTCTCGGTTAAACTCTTTATAACTGCTTAAAATCCGGGTAATTTTGTGTTCACCCTTCTCGCAATTTGAACTCGTTCTAAGGGTTTCGCCGTAAATTGAAAGACCCCTGTGTTGATGAGTGTTCTATATTCCTATATTCTATATGCCGTTACTACCCCATCATGTGCGTTCCAAATTTAGCGGGAAAGGGCGGTGTGTTTCAACTTCTAAAGCGGGCCCGCGCAGGAGGTAAATAGGCCTCTTTAAAATGCTAATGTCTGCAATAGGCCCAGGGTTGCTGCGCCCGCTGTAGGCCCTTGCAAGAACCACTCTCATACACCGAATTGGCGGACCCATAAAACAACGAGCGACACCAAAAGAAGTTGCATACACATCAACCATAAGTAGCTTGTTTGAGTTGATCACACTCTACTTGAGTGCAAAAAACAGAGAATGCACGCAATAGGGGGTAGGATGGTCTCAATATATGTCTGCAATAGTGGGTGTTTTTTTCTTCAATATGTCTGCGCTAGGGGGTACTAAATTTACATTGTGTCCGCAATAGGGGGTACGGTTTGCCAATGTGCTGCCAGCCCTAGGGGCCTATTATTTTTTTTAGCAAAAATGCACATGATGTAAGGTTTTAATATAGGGTGACCACCCTGGACTATATTCAACGCTGACTACTCAGTGTTTAATATACTGCTCGGTCAATGCCTGATTGCAACACAAAACATCAAGATTATATGAAGTGATTCGTAGTCACGGTGGGTCAAACTATTTTACACTGTTGCACTGAAACGAGGAAAACCAGTCACCAATTTTCTAACTGTTGTCAAAATGACGCCACTTTGGGAACACTTTGAAAAACGACGCAATAAGCACTCCATTGCGCATAGGAGTACAGGTTATACCAGTAAATAACATCAACGACGAATCACCCTCGGGTCAGTGGGTGACCAACACCCCCTCATTGCCAAGTGTAATCAACACTCACTGCTCCCAGTGTTCAATACCGTCTGCTCACTAGACCGGTGCCTTGACTGCTGTAATGCCCGGTACACCACTGTACCGATACTGAATCTGGTATGTCGCCGCTTTGGCAATCGTTTACCCATGGGACTAGCATACAATAAATAGTCCTCATGTACTTAATAACGATTCGGATCTTCAGAGAGATGCACACGTTTTACGGAAATCTATCCCAAACTGACTATGCCCTTACCTTGTTGTGTGACCTTCAAGCAAACGACGTTGTTTCTATTTTGTACAATGGCCGTAAACGTTTTCAAAATGGATGATTCGATCGTTCCTTGGTTTCACAGGAATTAACCAGTAAGTTTACCGCACACAACATGTTTTCGTCGAACTCATAAATATTTATGAGGGAATTCCCCTTGCATTGTCTGCAGCGAATTGGGTATAGCGCCCTCACTGCTAGAATGACCTAGACCTCTGTGTGATTTTAATGGTTGAACATCCTGCTTACTCGTCTGTAACGGCGGTATTGAGTGGCCTACACCCACATATGTACTGTACATTGTCATTTGATAAGAAAATTACAAATATATGTAAAACATTTTATTAACCAACTCTGTGTATTACGACAACTGAAGAAGTATATACCTACTGACGCTAAATTATAGCGGTTCAATAGTTACATCTGACGTTACATGAAATACATGTACTGCGGCGATGCACAATTGTATTACACGCAATTTGACTGACAATGACTGACAAATTAAATGGAAGTTTTTAGAATATTTTATTTAGACAGAAGCCATGATTACACCTCTCCCCTAAAACACACCGACAACAAAATACTTTTGTAGAATGTTTTTATTTTTTAAATTTTATACAGCCATTTTGACTTTGTGTATTTATATAGTGTTTTGTATATTGGAACTGTTCGATTGTAATAAATTATCACATAAGGCACCGTGGGCAAAATCGCCGAATAATGACGTTATTGTAAACCATTATGACCAAGGTCACGTGATAATCCCTCTCCGACAAAGATTATATGATAGCATGTCTGTTCAATGCATTGTATCGAGTTCTTGGGTTGAGCGAACTCGTGACAGATAAGAGGACCCATTTTAAAACCTCTGCCCCAGTTTTTCCCAAGTTTAATAAACATGCTTTTATTTTTAATATATAATTTGCACGAACTTCCAAGAACGACTATCATTCTGGTAGCGAGTCTCAATAAATTTGGTAAATGTTCTAAAAAAATGGATATCGCTCACACAGCAGGTGAGGTCGTTTAACGTATCTACTTAAACCTTCTAAATATTGCCTATCATACCTGACACTGTTTATCTCATCGCAGTGGACTAAACCTTTTAATCACATTCAAATGTTCACCAACCTTATCATGAAACTAATTGTGATCACTTGGGCATTGTAACAAGACGATAACTGGTCAGTGCTTGATGAGGTCAATACCCGAACATGCCAACACAATTGTGCATGTGACTCATGAATATCTAATGTTTACACACGTTTTTCCTCCCATGATTTGTCACCGTTAATGCGTCGCAAAAATTGTTCGTGTCATTTTTTTAAATGGAAGCGGTTATTTTTATTTGACGGCAACATCAATTCAATCGATTCGTCAAAAGATGGCATGTCAAAATAACATCATTTTGTTCTTAGGCTTCGGAAATACCGGTAGTTTTCAACCACTACAGGTATATTCAATTTTTCGATAGTCCGCGGTATTATAATTAAAATTGAAATTAAGAAATCCACATTGTCCCATATGGCGTAATATCAGGGCCATGACTGGGAAGTTGGTGTAAACATTTGGGCTGTGTCCGACTAATTATTGCACACATTCACACAGAAAGGGCCGCGCGTCTTTCTTCATAGTTTAACAACTGTATTTGTGGCTACATTAAAATAGTCCATGTAATAAAAAGATTGGTTTTAGTATTGCAACTAATTTCAATGCATAATTGCGACCTTCAATTTTAGTATATTTAGTATACAAGCAGGAGGGTCGTCACCTGCACAGGCGCAGGAATTGAGTCCCAAGCGACGATAACAACACGCGCTTTGAATTTGTTTGTAAACAATGGCATGCTAAGGTCATCTGACGCATGCGCAGGTGGCAACCCCCCCCCCCGCATTAATACCTTAATAAACGCGTCACAGTCCGTGTGCAGTACATATGAATTCCGTAAAATAAACAAATAATAGGTAATACAAAATCAAACACGACATGCCACGATGACGGTGGTCTTAAACACCTTTGTAACTGAACTACATTACAATATATCTTCTGAATATCCTAACATTCATTGGGTGTCTGCATCACTAAAAGTCAAAGTCACTGTCACTGTCATCTTCATCTACTGTAGAAATGATTTCATCTTTCATCACAGATGAAGGTTGTTGCAACTCTGGACCGATGACACATTCTTGACTTGGCATTGTTAAAGGTCCTTTCTCAACATCTAAAGTAGCATCATTCTTCTTGAATTCAGTTGAAGTGTTACTACTATCTGGAGAATCACGCAAGTCAGTCAACTTGAAAGGATGATCTTCATCCAGAGGTAGGCCCATAGAAGATATCTCGCTGGGTGGTAATGCATCTTCAAAAGACCCAATGAAACGTCCTGTATCACCATCATAACCTGATTGTACAAAATCCATACCTCCGGTTAGAGAATCATAACCAGAGTGCATTGATTGATAATCAAAATCAAACCCTGCAGCAAAGTCACCACCCCATGCACCGCTGACGTCGTCTTCCGTCTCAGGGAGGTCTACACTTCCAGCTCCACAGAACTCTAATATGAATGCACCAACAGCATCAGCATCAATGTTAACTATACGAATTTCAGTCAGCCCAGTGTCATCACTATTGGAGAAGGCTTCTACAGCACGGTGGAAAGTGTGTGCACACAAATCCAATGGCATTCCATATATTCCTATAAATCAATAGAATTAGGTAGATTTAGAGCGACCTGCAATGACTCATTTCACTAGTGAACAAATAAATGACAGATAAATAATTATATATGCATGATATGCTTATTTATGTCTTAATGACTGTTCATACCTGAACTGATGGCTGGAATCGATATAGACTTTGCTTTAAGAACATCTGCCGCATATTCAAATACATCAAGGAGCAATTTATAAAGGGTCTCTATGCCATGTCTTGAATAATGGCCACGCCTTCCCCACACTGGTCCAACAGCATGAATAATATGCCTGCATTTAAGCCTGCCACCAGTTGTATGACAGATACCTCCCACTCGCAATTCTCCATTTTGCTGGATGTATTCTGTAGATTCTCTCTGTATTTCGCGACCACCTGCTACACTAATTGCGCCAGCTACACCTCCGCCATGTCTGAGCTTAGAGTCAGACGCATTGACGATGACATCGGTATCTTCACGAGTAATGTCACCAAGGTATACCGATACTGTAACACCTTTTGCCGTTCTGTATGCCAAAGATAACCGCTCCAAGCATTTGTCAAGATCCAATGAGTGTTCTATATCACTCCTTCCCTCGGGCTGAGTTAGTGCTTCGGGGTGTACAATAGGCGATTTTTGATTAGATCCCACCAGTGATGAAGGTTCTTCATTTCGATAAGTGGACGGTTTTGGTGGCATTACCTCAAGCCTTGTATCATCATCTGTATCTTCCACATCAACTGTATAGTCAGAGGATGATGTTACCACATCTGACATTAGTGAAGTTCCTACATCATCATCAACACCACGTTCAAGTGAATTCCCAGTATTTGTGGGCGACCGGAGAAGCAATGCATACAGCATTGACTCCACTTTAACAAGTTCATCTAAGGTTGCTGCATGTACAATCTGCTGGCCATTTTTTCTATATACTTTCACGGCTGCAATCTTCTCTACTGAGCTGATTATTTCATCAGACAATGTCCCAGATACCCATGATGTCACATTTGCTTGAAATCCCTCTAAAACCTAAATCGATAATTATATAGTATGTAATTAGTATCACAAATTCAAATAATTATAAGTGACTTTATTAAGTGTTAAATAATACATCTTCTGTGGATTGTCACATTCAGTAATCCCAAACAATGATGTTCCAAAAAGATTAGTCAATTATTATTAAAACAAGATTACCTCATCACAGAGTACTCTTTTTATTTGACTGGTAATCTTATTTTCTTCTTTCATGAACGTGGCTGCATCTATAAAAGCGTATGATATACAAAAAAAAGTGTTGAAATATGTTTATATGCCAAATAAACAAGAACATCAAATCACATCACGGGACGGTGTAAACATTTATATTATAAGTTGTTCAAGTTCAAATGAAATTTAGAATGGGTGATTGATTACTACACGTGAACATACTCGTCAACAGCTAACAGATGGGGTTCATTTCCCACATTAAGTACTCCTTTGCGTGTTTATGATCTGTAGCACTTACAACTAAGTACAGATTTATATTGCAGTCTGATAGGTTACCAACACCAATGTCCTGGTGATTGAAGAGCAGATCGAAGCCGAAGTCCGAATCAGAAATATTAATTCAGACAGATTGACGAGTTAGTGGTAGCAAACCTCTAAGCACACACAAACTCAAAATGTTGAAATTCAACATGATTAGTGTTACCTGCTCGTGAATCGAACATCAATATTGCATGAATGCCACTTGCATGCGGAATATATTTATATCTTCCACGGAAACTATCTTCAAGGTAATCAGGGATGGCAGCTGTATCTGCCAATTCTTGCGGAATGTCGTATATCTTCACGACTCTTCCAGTGTGTGTACGATCTTCACTAGTCGTGGCCATACTCGTTCACCTGTTATTAAAATAAAAATATGTGTACTCATAAGAATCATATAATTCAGTAAGACATTATAGATATTTATATTATTCAAGTTGCTAAATGTTTTAAATGATCAATTACTAAATATCTTGTAATCAAGATTATGGTTATTATAAATTGTGTATAATGAAAAGTGATACCATGTTTTAGTATATGTCAGCATACAAAACATTGACATAAATGATGTGCAACATGCAGTACCACATGTTACACAATCAATCAGGCTATGCACGAACAAACGTCCAATTTGTTGTCAGGTTGAAGAGTTGAAAACTGCGCGAGTGTGTGTGTTGGACGTACGTGGAGGTGGGGGGGGGGTACCTATTTACAAGCAATGCTTGACATTATAGCTAAATGAGTGAATATATTTTTGAACATGACCATTTACATAAAATTGATTTGCAGAATACAGATTCGATAATCGGACATAGAAATACACATTTTCAGATGTTCGGCATAATGTTGTCATCATTAGGATATTCATGATACTGCCTGAAAATTACGTTACAAGTCAATATGTATACTTCCAAGTAAACTTACACTAAATGAAGAGACATAAACCATATATATAACATAAATATGTCATTTGTCGACTATATTTGAGCACGAGACTATCGGAACGAGCACTAATAAATACTTCCGGGTTCACCAAGGTCGGCTGCTTTATTACAACGGATTTATAATACTGTTACAGTGTGTATAAATACTCGCCGGCAATCTTAATACATCCTGTATGGGACACAAACGTTTTAATTTATATAATTTAAGTGAAACATGGCTTTAAATATACATACATACTGCCATGGATATGCTGACATTATGCCGAGCCTCCGTTCAACAGTGACTCCGAGGCTGCGCTGTTCACTTACCTTATACAGAGTGCGTGCTTAATTTGACGCTTGTTGTAATAAGCCGGACTGCTGTTGAAATAATATAAAATGTTATACGTGCTTACGTAATACGAGGAATTGTAACGCTGGCCCTGGAATTACCCATTTGCCAGTGGAAAAACAACAATTCCATCATATGTCATCTTTTCTTCGAAGTCATGCATATTCATAAGGGACTTCCCCGAAGTTCATTCAGCTGACGCAAAGGTTGTCTGTAAAACCCGGAACAACAACCATAATGCATACAAAAAACGGAATTATTATTTAATTGGCACATTCTTACAATTCTTATCCCCCATCGGAATGCGTTGGTAATAATTATTGTTACATGTTTTTAGGTTTACTATATTGACGGTGATAGTAAAGGATATATTATAAGGTACAGAGCTGCTGTTCGAACGTACGTTTTCAGCCAGGCGAGCGCAGTTTTCCAGTCCCAGCTCCATGTTTTGTAGATACCCGATGTTGATGTAATAACGTTCCCACAGTCCTCTGCGCGCAACAATGGGTTTTTTGCAGTGAGGTAAAAATAGCACACATTATTGTGACGTCTGGGTTTTCCTTTTCTACGAACTCAGCACATGTACCTTTACCGCGAACTGTTGCCTGTCCCGGATTGGCCTTGTTCTGTTGCAGACTACAGAGCTGTAGTTGATTATCAGTTTCGTAAACTCACTAAATCGACTGGATTTGTATATTTGTACGTTCTAAGCGTAACTCGTATCAGTTTAGTTCACATTTTTATGTCTATGTCCTGACAAAATGGCGGGTGTCGGTGAAGGTACGATAGAGGTGTCAGGGTACAGCCAAAACACAAGTGACGACACCCTTCTTTTTTATTTTGAAAACAAGCGACGATCTGGGGGTGGTGATATCGTAGAATCGGATAACGGGTTCAGACGGAAAGGAAACCGGTGCTACATTACCTTTCAAAATCCATCTGGTAAGTTAGTATCATAATTAATAATATTTTATTTTATTTTATTTTATTCAAGCTATTTGCACAATCGAAGTTTAACCATTGTTAGTCACGCCTATTTATTTTGGACAAATTATACCTTCGATGCAGATCGTAAACCGCCCCTCGGAGCCACCCCTATTTAAATCCCGGACTTCTGGCTCAGTGAAGGTCGTGTGTCCCGTGCGTCCTTCACTACGGCCACCGCACGCCCAAGATCAGGTGCTCCCAGACGCAAATGTTCATGTTTATTCCAATGCGCTAATAAAGGCGATACTCTATACACATCCGTTTTGTTCTCGTTAAAGTTGTACAGTCTGTTTTGTCTCGTGCTAGCCATGTATTGAATGGGAGAACCCTACAAATAAAAACAGTGCGTCCTGCTGAAATAGATAATAATAAATTAGTTATCAAGGTCAGTATTATCACTATTATTACATTATCTGTATTGTTATTATCAACTTATCTGTACGTATTGTTGCTAACTAAAAATGTATTGTAATGTTAAAACGATAACTATCTGTAATTATATGTAAATACATGGTACATTTCTTAGCTTATATGTTTGAGTATTGAGTTAATTTGGACTTAATATTTATAGAATATCTCCGAACATACGACCAAAGATGGGCTAGGATATTTTCTGAAAGACCTCACTAAGTCTAAAGTACTTAATATTGCATATCTCAACGAAGACAAGAATTGTGCCATAATCACGTTTGCCGAGTCAATAAGTAAGTGTATTCATAGGCCCGAAGCAAGATTTCTTTTATTTACTGCGCACTAAATTGTACTGCTGTGCGCATGCGCTCTAGTACTCACATTACACGCAATACCCTTTGCACGGTATTATGACCTTTGTGTGAACTCCATTCCATCACATGTAATCATCCGAATTTTGATATCATCGGTCACAAGGCTCAAATAATTTGGTTTTAAATAATGGCAAAGTCAGTATTTATATTGATGGTTTGGTTTTCAATTTGCTCAAGCATGCATGATCAGTGGACAACGAGATAATTTCCGCTCTCGTTTTTGAATATCGTTGGGCCCGCAATAAAATTAAATTTGTTGTTTGACTATTAAAAAAATAAACTCAATCGAAAAATGACAACAACTTGATTTAAATCTCTAGTAATTTTGTTAAACCAGCTTTCACAAACGTGATGTGCTTGCCAGTAAAACATTTCTTCGATCATGGATA